TAGAGCAACCACTGTTAAAAAATCTAACTCCAAAACGCCTTTATTAATCTTTAAGAAATTTTGGATAAAAATACTTCAACTTATATTTCAGTTTACGTGTTTGAGGGTTTTTTGAGAAAATATTTTTAAAGCCCATTTTTTAATATTAAAAAATACGTTTGAAAAATAACTTTTAGGGAAATTTTTTTTCAAGTAAATAAAAAATATGCTGTTAAAGACCGTATTTTTGTTAGTATACTATAAAAATTTTGTACAAATCAAATGAACAGTAACGAAGATACATCGCTTCAAAGTCGGTAAAAATGACCCCTTTTTTATTATTTTGCTTTGCTTTTGCTTTTCAAAATTTGTCATGCGGTGCCCATTAAATTTTCTAAAAGCAGACTTTTCTGTTTCTTAATGCAGCGATAGGATATTCTTTGTTTCTTTCCTGGAGTTTGGATGCTATTTTCATCCCGGCAGTAATTTTTTTTATTATTGTGCACAATTTTTAGGCTCGACTTTGATCTAGTTTTTTTTCTTATCCTTCGCTCAAGCCCCTAGTTAATTTTTCGCCTTTTTAATGAATTTCTTATATACATTTCTATACATAGATGCCAGTGATTGTTTAGTTATTTCATTTAGAGACAGCTTGTATGTTTTTCGAACAGGGTAGTATCGTATAAGGTAGTATCGTATCTTAACACAATAATTTTCTTTTAATTGGCTCTGGAATGACTTGACCTCCGACTTCTACATTGATTCTAGATTGATTGTATTTCATTATTAATATTGATTTTCTTTAAGAGACTAACTCTACGTTTATACTTTGTAACGTTACACAAATAGTAACGCTACATTATTTATATAATTGAAATAAGTTAAGCACTATATAAGTATTATTTACTTGTCCACACTGTATATCGCAAATAGGCCTAAGAGTATTGTATTTTTATGTTTTGATTATTTTCTTAGACGTATTTAGGTCGCTGCCTTTGTTTTGTTGGCATGCCATATCTAAAAGAGTATATTTATTTTAGTTTTGATGATAACCAAGAAGAGTTTGGTATATTTTTAGTTTACGAAGGTGATAACCAAGAAGAGTTTGGTATATTTTTAGTTTAGTTGGTACTCCTAATTGCGCAGGACACGGGAGTCAACTGTGCAACGCTAGAGAGGCGTTAATGGTCGGTTTTTGGTTAGTTGAATCTAAGTAAAGTTAAATTACGAATTGTTTAGTAATTAATTTGTTGTGGGCCTGATATATTTAGTGATTATCAAAACTAGCGCTTTAAAGAGCAGTGATTGCAGTTTTTTTCTGAATTATTGTGTTTTTTGGTATCAAGCAGCGTGTTTGGTAAACAGCAATCTAAACGACGCGACGTTTAGAACATTTAGTCGACCTGGGAAGGTCATATTTACAGAATTTCTTCTCTATTTTTCTTGTAGGTGTTTTCTTTGAAGTAATAATTCTATAAGGGAGTTCTAGAACCTATAAGGGAGTCATCCTGGAAAATGTTTACATTGAGAACTGTTGTATGAATATATAAGGGCGAGTAACCTAAATGTCAAGTTCTAATAGAGAGGAGCCCGATCCAAGCTTCAGTTTAAGTTTACCAGGAAATTCCATGAACACTGCTCAGGATCCACAGCTTTTATTTAGTATTATTAATTATTTTTTTAATACGTACTGCGAGGCAGTAAATTAGGAAGCGTTATTTTGTATTTTGTTTTGATCGTCTAGCTATTCGGTATTCAATTTTAAAGATAGTAGATAAATTAATTTATTAATTTTTATCATAGAATTATAACTATATTAAATATAAGCAAGTAATCATATCCTGCCACCACAATTTAAAGAGTACTCTTTAAATTGTGGTGGCACCCGCCCTTCTTGTAGCATGTTCTTGTACCAGTTTTTTTAGTTGTTTTACTCGTCGATACGAAGCACTCTCTCTTCTAACTTTTTGTCTGCCTCGGATGGTATTGTGATGTTTCGCATTTGCAATTTGAGGCCAAGGACTAGGAGGTATTCCTCAAATATTTTTTTCTTTTTTCAGGATCTGCGTTAATGCGCTTCCTATATCTTCTTTGTTTCTCAGCTGAAGTTAGACCCATGTTTTACCTGTTTAAAATTATAACAGAAAACGTCAGATGAGTTACCCAATGGTCATTACAGTTACCAGCAGGAGCAGCAACGTATGTGACGTTAAATTATGACATTCGGCCGTTAAATTTTAAAAATGCCGCCATAGACAGAAACGTAAACAAGCTAACTTGACCTAAGTTTAAGACTGATACTGTTAGGTTATGTCTATAAATTAAAAGCCCTTAAAATTACAAAAATAAACTAGTAAATTCAATAAATTAATACTCATACTCATACATATAATAATAATTAATAAATTGTTTTGGTATAATAGGAATAGTAATTATAGGTTTGAGTATATCTGGATAAAACTGGAAATATCGGGTAAAACACTCGCGGTTGGTTGTAATACAGGCCACCCAATACCAACGTAAATTACTTTTTAAGATGTTTAAATGATATAATTATAGATTTCTATATTACCTTTGAAAAAGTAATTTTCTTTGGTGATCTGAAAATTAATTAAATGTTGACACTAACAAAAAATCTGATACTGTTAGGTTATGTATATAAATTAAAAGCCCTCATACTCATACATCTAATAATAACTAATATATTGTTTTGGTATAATAGGAATAGTAATTATAGGTTTAAGTATATCTGGATAAAACTGGAAATATCGGGTAAAAAACTCGCGGTTGGTTGTAATACAGGCCACCCAATACCAACGTAAATTACTTTTTAAGATGTTTAAATGATATAATTATAGATTTCTATATTACCTTTGAAAAAGTAATTTTCTTTGGTGATCTGAAAATTAATTAAATGTTGACACTAACAAAAAATCTGCTAAATATTACTGACACATTTTCTCTTTCACAAGTTATCCAGAGACCAAGTCGATTGACAGCAACTACTTCTTCAATTATAGATTTATTTTTTTATTAATAAATCTTTGTTTACACTATCATCCTGTAACGTTATTGATAATAATTTGTCAGATCATTTTTAACATACTGCTGCATTAAATTTAATAACGATTTGCATTTACAGCCTATACAAATTAGTTCCAGAAACTTCATTGATAGGCATTTTAGTAGGAAGACACTTAATTTGATTTTACTGAACTATTTAAATTCAATTGAACCAGTGAAGAGGAAATTAATAAACTATTGTTTTCTATTAATACAAAAGCCTTCGGAGTGGACAAACTCAACATCACTTTGATATTAATTTGTTGCCCAAAAATATGACCTGTTACACATATGAATTGTTGTGTTCAATATTCCAAGGCATGGGGGAGGCTCTGTTGCCTAAAAATAGCCAACCTGCATCTTTAAACGAATTTTGGTCAGTTATAATTCTTCCGATACCATCTAAAGTTTTAGAAAGAAGTTATGGAAATGCAATTTAAAGCTTTTTTAGAAAACTATAATATTTTACCGGAAAGGCTTTAATATAGTTGTACTACTGCTCTGTCTTGTATTACTGATTATCTCAAGAAACTCTGATACTTTTTATCTTCAATGCTCAGCTATATTTAGAATATGTACTTTGTTTAATAGCATAAGTGATATATGGGGCAAAATTTGTACCAGGTGAAAAAATTTTTGTTACCGATTTTGTTTAAACTTTACTTATTTGTTGTTTTTATAACGTAGAATCATAGCATAAAATTTTTTTGCTCTAGGATTGTTCATTCAAGAGTTATGGATTATAAAATTTATCGATTTATTACTTTTTGGTGAAATCGCTTTTTATTTAAAAATTCATAACTTCTGTTCATCTCTTTATTAAATATTTCAATTTAACCACCTTAAATGATTTTTTTGTACTTTTCAATGGGCTATACCGTTTTTGCAAAAAAAAAATTGGAATTTTTTTTGAAATTTTGCAAAATTTGCATTTTCTTAAACAATGTGTTTTTTTTTAATTTTTTTTAAAATAGCATAAAATTGAAGTTTATTATGTTACCTTTGAATAAATAAAAATTTAGAGTGGGTCCGACATGTAGAAGGAAAGTTTTTCATATTTGAATGCGTGCGGGTCTAGCCATCGAACATCCATACTACACTGCCGTATGCGTTTATACCTAGTAGATGCGAGTAAACGAATACAAAATGATAATTTAAAATGTAAAATTATGTTTGAGTAGTCAATGATATATTTTAAATATTTACACTGCCGCACGATATGGTTTTTTAACAGTATTTTTTGCACAAATTGTTTAAGCATGGGTCTACATAGATTTTGCAAGGAGGATCGATGATATTAAATAAAAAATTTATTGTTATAACCATAACGGCTTGCCTATAAGCTGAATTAATAGGTCAATGGCGTTAAAAATATATAATGTCTATAAACGGTTTTTGCTGTCATGACGAGCTCTAAACATTCGCCGTACGGACATTACTTACTTTTTAAACCGTAACGGTCAGTCAGAATATTTGTGTATTTGTTAAAATATGATTTGTCGATTTCGTAATTCGGAGGATTTTTGGCGGATATTACTAGAATTATGTTAATTTTTATTTTTGTGGCTAAAGTAAAATACAGAAAGAATAAAGTGTTGGTGTTGTTTTTCTTCAATTTTTCGCCCTACCATACTTTTAAATTAAAATAAAATCTTATGGTAATAACGACTTTTTTTGTTTGGTTGTATGGCTAAGAAGTATTTTTACTTATTGTTCACATCTCGTAGGCAAATCCGATTTTTTCGATTTATTATACAGTTGACAGCGGTTTTTTTTTATTAGAATGCGTTGCAAATCATTCAATGCGCTGACACGCCTTCAACACCATGTTAACACTGTCAAATAATAATTTGTTAATTTCAGTGTTTTTAAAACAACATTAATTATATTGTTACTTTTACATTAATTAAGTAGTAGATATTGAAAAACAGATAGTATATTTTTTATTATTTTGCAAAATGGCAGAAAGATTACAAATCGCAAAACGCTGCTGTAATCCATATAAGCTAGGAAATCATTCCTATAAGTCAAAAGGCTTAAGAAAACTTACAACTCAAATTCGTGACAAGATTCCCTCTTTCGCTGCTGATGCAAAAATTTGTGGCCCATGCAGAAAAAAATCTTGTGTGGTCCTCGAAAAAGTGAATTCAAATATATCTGATGGTTGCAGCCAACCTGTCTCTTATGTAAGTACAAATTGTTTCATTTGAGTGTATAAAATCTTAAGGGTCTAAACGCCATTTCAGAACTCGCATTTATACAGGGTATTCGAGAAACCGAGGAATTAATTTAAATCTTAAGTCGAAAACTTTTTTCCTTTGCCAATTTAAAAAAAAATCAATATCAAGAAAGTTATGTTCTATTTTATAATATAATATTATGACCCAAACAAGTCTTAATTACTGCCAAGGAATGATTTTCTCCTAAAAAACAAGTATCGTATTATGTTAGGTAATTAATTAATTAAATTAGAAACTTATATCTATCTTTAATAAAATTTAAAAAATGGTTGTTTATTTTGTCCAAATCAAGCGCCCAATGAAAATTTACAAGAAGAGAAAAAGTTTCTAAATCTAAAAATAAGTCGAAAGATACCTTTTTATTAAATTAATTTTGACCCCCTGGCGTCTACGGTTTTGAGATATTGCAAATTTTTTGTCTAAAATCGTAAATAACTTTGTTAATATTAATTTTTAAATAAATTGTTAAAAGAAAAAGTCTTATAATTGGGCAAGGAATACACCATTTAAATTAATTTCGCGATTTTTGAAAAAAAAATTGACACCCTCAGCATTTAAATTACTGGCGAAAAACTGTTTTAATGTAAATAGTGCAGCAAATTTTTACAGGCAGCACCCATATAGCGCCATTGTAGTTGGTCCCAAAGATATTATCTTTGGTTGGTCCCTTTAAACTTTTTAGATATGGAGTTATTGTCAAGAAAAAATTGTAATATGGATTTAACATAATATTATCAACATGTTCAACTTTTTTTAGAATATAGGTACCTACGTATATGTAAAAAAATATTTTGAAAAAGACACCCATACACATTCCACCATTTATTTGTATAATATACCTAGGTATAAGTAATAAGTGACAGATATTGTCATTAATAAATTTGGTAATGTTTAAGGTTATGGACGTTGATTACAAAACATCGAGCAAACCATAAAAAAAAACTGGCTTGTGATATTGAAGACCATCAAGCAGCTGTACAGGTGTTGGAACAGATCAAAGAAAAATATAAAAAGACAACAAGCGCTTCCGAAAAAATTATCCTGTTGACATTAGCACCAAAAACGTGGGGGCGAAAGAAATTAGCATGCGAATTCAATGCATCGGAACGTCAAGCCAAAAAAGCCATACAGTTGGTGAAAGAAAATGGTATTTTAACCTCTCCATTACCGAAAAAGGGTAGAATTTTATCGCCTGATGTTGAGAAATTAATTCTCGATTTTTATAATGATGACGACAATAGCCGTATGTAAAAGATTTTTTGTCTGTAAAGAAAAAAGATGGTTCACGTGAACACGTACAGAAAAAGCTAATTTTATGTTTCAAAGTTGTATTATAATTTCGCACAGCAAAACTCTAATTTTATTTTTCGAAATTCGCACAACTTAGACCGCGAAATTGCGTACTCGCTGGATCTAGCGGAACTCATACTGTGTGCGTTTGTATTCACCACGAGAATGTTCATCTTATGTTTTTCATGTTAATATTGTAGCCTCCAAGTTCATTCTTGACTTTTGGTCCGATACAGGGTCGGTCACGTGGGACCTTTTGCCCTGAACCTTAATTGAATTTAATTTAAAATAAATGAAAAATATGTTTTTTTGGCAAGCAAGTTAATACAAGGTGACTGAGGGTCCTGAATACAATTGACTGAAGTTAAAATTACCTGAGAAGAAAATGAACCGCCAGCGGCCTATTCTTTATCTAGCAGGGGACTGCGTCTGGAGAGCTATAGAGCTAACCACACAACAGCGTCTGCGTGTGCTTGCATTAGGTATAAAAACCATGCTACGTTTTAAAAGTTTTAAAGTAAATGAGGACGCAAAATTGAATGGGTGGAGCGAGAGGGAAATTAGGATCGTGGAGGGAGACGGATGTGGGTAGGGTCATCCGTAGTCGAGCGTGCCCATAATGCCTCTGTACAGACGCCTCCTAGCAGGGTCATAATCCACGGCTTCCTGTATAAGTGGGTTAGGGATAGTCCTGATTCGCTCTATTGTGTTGTTTACTCTGTCCTTTATGAGGTCGGCGATGGTGGGAAGTTTTAGGTCTTCTCGGAGCTGTACATTACGGACAAACCATGGGGCTCCTGTTATTAGTCTCATGATTTTGTTCTGGGTGGTTTCGATCTTCTTTATGTGGGACGGAGCGGCAGTGGCCCACGCAGGGCTAGCATACATGAGAATTGGCCTGATGATGGATGTCCAGGCCAGCCTCCTGTTCTTCAGGGACAGTTCGCCTTTCGGGATGAGTAGCGGGCGTAGCGCTGTAGTGACTCCATAGGCCTTGTTGATGACATTGGAGATATGTGACTTCCATGTCAGCCTTTTGTCCAGTGTTGCGCCAAGGTATTTAACCTCGCCTATCCACTCTATCTCCTGGTCCGAGTAGGTTAGTCGAGGGGGCAGTGAGATGTTTGGTCCTTTGGCAAAGATGATCGCCTGGGTTTTGGCCGGGTTTATAGCAATTCTCCATCTGGTTGCCCATTCTTCCAGCATGTCAAGTCCATGCTGTAGTACCTTTTGAATCTCCGTTGCACGCCTGCTGGAGAAGTACATTGCCGTGTCGTCCGCATACATGGCCAGGTCCGGGCCGGGAGGGTGAGGGATGTCCGCCATGTAGATATTGAATAATGTTGGGCCAAGGACGGAGCCCTGGGGGACTCCGGCTCGGATCCTGGCTGGTGTAGAGTTGGCTGCGCCAACGGAGACTGTAAAGGTGCGCCCATGGAGATAGGATGCCACCAATTTGGCCATGGGGGAGGAGATTCCAATGCTGGTCATCTTTGCCACGATGCCTGGGTGCCACACCCTATCAAAGGCCTTAGCGATATCAAGTAGCACCATTCCCGTTTTCTGCTTCTTGTCATATGCTTTAGTCACATGGTTGGCCACTCTGATCAGTTGGAGCTCGGTGGATAGGGATGGCCTAAAGCCAAACTGCTCATAGGGGATGGCTCCTTCTGCCATCTCGGAATCGATGCGTCGTTTGACTATTCTCTCCGCTATCTTGGCCAGTGACGAAAGCAGTGAGATCGGTCTAAAGTTGGCAGGATGGACCATGTTCTGACCTGGTTTGGGGATCATGATGACCTTAGCAGATTTCCATACCGCCGGGAAATATTGGGTCCACAGGATGCCATTTATTATTGATGTTAGGTGGGAGATCATCGACTGAGGAAGTCGTCTGATGGCTACGTTGGGGATATTATCCATTCCGGCAGCTACCCTTTTCTTAAGGGACCTAATTACTTCAGAAACTTCCTCCTCCGTGGTTGGGGAGATGGAGGGGTACTCAGCCTCACACAAGAGCCTAACTGAGCGTCTTATTAGTCTGTCCTCTGCCTCGTGATCTTCGTGCCCGTCATTAGGTCTGAATGTTCGTTCCAGGTGCTCCGAAAAGGCTTCTGCCTTTTCCTCCTCCGTGTAAACCAGACCGCCAACTCCGTGTAGGGGAAGTTTGGCCTTGGGCCGATTGGCTTTGAGATTTTTGGCCAGCTTCCAATAATCAGGTGCCGCAGTGTCCATTCCGGAAAGTGTTTGAGTCCATTTATCGTCTCGGAACTCCCTAAGCTCATCTCTAAATTGGGTCGTTAGCCTATTGTATGTGCGTTTGTCTGCCGGATCTAGCGTGCGTTGTGCTCGTTTTTTTGCCGCTCTCTTGCGGCTCAGCAGATCCTGCAGGCGTCTGGGAAGTAAATAGGGAGATGTGTACTCCTCTATTCTTGTAATTGACGATTCCAGTAGAGCTGTAGAGATGGCTGAGGTGAGGTTCGCTGCTTGAGACTCCACTTCGTGTGGGGACTTGGGGACTTCTGGGGGCGGTTGATGTGGTGCTGTGATTCTGAGGAAGCGTGGCCATGTTGTGATCTTACGTACGTACGTAAGGCGGTCGGGTCTGAAGTGTCCAAGAGTGACCACAATGGGGTTGTGGTCTGAGGAGGAATCAATCAGAGTTGTGATCTGGAGTTGGTCCTGGAACTGCTTGGTGACAGCGATGTCTAGGATGTCTGGTCGACTGTTGGTGGCGAAATATGTGGGGGCATCCGGACCATGGACGTCCCATGATCTAGTTTGAGACAGGTGGAGTAGCCTCCTGCCGTAGGAATTCGTTGTTCTGCTATTCCAGGCAGGGCTCTTGGCGTTGAGGTCCCCCGCGAGTATGGTGGGGATGTTTTCTTCCATAAGAGTGCATAGGTCCTGTTCAGGGAAGGGGCCGCCAGGGGGAAGGTAGCCGCTGATAACCTTGAGTCTTCCACAGAAGGCCGTGTCGATATATATGGCTGTGGATTCCGTGGTAGTTGGTGGAAGATCCGGCACGGCGCAGTGAGAGATGTCACCCATTACCAGGATGAGGACACCCCCACCTCCGTTTTGGTTTATTCTGGGACGGCTGTAGGTTATGTAGTTGGCGAAGTTGAGAGAAGTATTAAGCTTAAGCCTGGTTTCGCCTAGCAGGACAACTTCTGGTTGCTCCTCAGCGAGGATGGTCTCCAGTTCGGCCTTCCTTAGCCTGATGCCATTGGAGTTCCAAGCAATGAGTTTGAGGCTAGATGGCTTTTTCATGACTGTTGTTGGTGAGTGAGCCTATTGAAGAGGGCCTCCTGACTGGCCATTAGTCCTTGAATGGCGGATGTGAGCGATGTTAGCATCAAGGTGATGTCCTGTTGGGGCTGTGGTTGGGGAGTTTGCCAGACAGAGGGGCCTTGAAGTTGTGCTGGTTGGGCTGCCACAGCTTGGCTGTACGATCCTACAGTCCTCGATGGGCCTAGGCTAGGGGTAGCTGCCTGTTTGGTGCGCGGTCTCTTTGGGCAGATTGGGGCATTTGCGGTGTGTGCTCCACCACAGTTGGAGCATTTAGGAGGGAGGTTAGAAGCCACCGTGCATTCCCTTGAGTCGTGTTGGCCTGCACATTTGAGGCACTTGGGCAACGCCGTGCATCTAGCCTGGGTGTGTCCGAAGAGTTGGCATCTGTAGCATTGGCCGACGTTGCCTGAGCGGCGAAGTGCCTCAATCTTGATTTTCATGTCGCATAAGGTTTTAGTATCATAGAAAGCAGCTTCGTTCTTTGGGAGTTTTACCAAGATTAGTGGCATGACCTTTCGCTCAGGACCTTTTTTCAATCGAATTAAGTTTTGGGGATGAAAGCCCAATTCTTTGATTTCCGTAGCTACTTCGTTAATATCGATTTCAACAGGAAGGCCGCGGATTACAACTTGCAGCAGCTTGTCTTCCGGGAGCATATAGGTGTGAAATTGCTCACCGTTGGTTTGGAAGAATTTCGTTATCGAACGGTATGCATCCACGGTATCCGGAAAGATCTTGACACCCTCTGGAATGTTGATCGCCTTGGAATAATGCCAGCCTTTATGTTTAAGTTCTTTGGACACCATGGTCCAACGTTCCTTGGTTCGGAGTATGATTGGAGGAACTTGTTGGCTGGTCTTGGTATTTTCCTGGTCTTGCAGTTGTGCCCTGCTTGAGGGTACATATTCTGGGTTGACTGGAGTGTCAGAGGGGGCTGGCATGTTCGCAGCGGATGTTGTTGCTTTGTTTGCCTCTGCTAATTGGTCAGTGTCCATGGAGGTCTGATGGGCATTGTGGTTGGGCTGTTCCGGTGGGGTGTAGCCTGACGCAGGCTTGTCCGCAGCCCGTGATGTTGTTACTTGGGAATTTCCTGCCACCTGAGAAGGGAGGCTGGGCTGCTTTGGAGGAGTGTATCGCAGAGGTGGAAAATCAGTCAAGGATGCCGTGGTAGCGGGTTTTGGGGAACAGTTCTCTCTCCGTTTCCTTTTGCTGGGTGCATTTTCGATGTCATTATCCTCCGAATCTTCAAGATGGGCTTTTTTGTTTTGGTTTGCAACTAGTTGTGCCAGTTGAATTTGTAGCTATTCAATCTGGGCACTCTGTCTTGTTAGAAGCTCGGTCTGGGCCGCTAATTGCTTGGTTAGATTATCGACCAGACAGGCAAGTCTTAGATTTTCTTTAGTCATACGCTGTTTTTCTTCGTCCAAGCCGGGTGTTTGGGTGGATGTTTTCTGGAACTGGGTGATCTTTTCCTGAATTTTTGGAGAGATTTTTCCTCCTGTAGTTCGTTTTCCCGGATCTCCGCCTTTGTGGGCATCGTCATTTTTCTCTTCACCTTTCTTTTTTTTTTTGTTTTTATTGGGGGGTTTTTTCCGCCCGTTAATGGGGATCGTGAAACTTTGCTGGATTTTATGAAGGGGTTTCCTTCGTAGTCAAAGTCAAGTTGG